CCTGGCCTGGGAATTCCAACATTAAAAGGGAAGGGAGAGGAAGAAGGAATTATGGTGGGGAAAGGAGAGGAAGCCAGAGAGAGAGCAGGAAACAGAGGAGGGTGGCCTCCTCGGCCTAGAGGGGAGAGTGCTTTCAGAAGACAGTGCTGGGGAAAAGGCAGAGAGAGCAACAACTATGCCAGATACAGCTGAGAGACCGAGGGGCATGAGGACAGAAAAGGGCACCCCGAGTTGTGGGTGGGGTGCTACCCATGACAGTAGCAGGAAAAGCTGTGTCAGAATTGGGGTAGGAAGGTGGATGGGGGTGGGGCAAATAGCCAGCAGGAAAGTGGAGAGAGAAGTTTGGTTTTACGTGGGAATAAAGAAATATACCTGCAGAGGATGAGCTACCGCGGGTGGGATATTTGGGGACAAGAAATGCTGGAGTGTGTTTGGAAAGATCAACATGATCACTGGAGAGTGAGAGATTGTGCCCCGGGTTTGTTGTTTTTCTAAATAATGATAAGAACTTCTGATTGTGTAACTCCTCACAGTTTACAAAGTGTTGTCACACACACTCTGGCACCTCATCCTCACAGCCATCCTGCGAGGTATGCAGCAGCCCCCTTTCCAGATGCAGAAGCCAAAGCTTAGAAGAACCGAGGGACAAGCTTGGGGTCAGAGCCAGGAGGTGGCAGGGCCAGGACCTCACCCCCAGGCTGCTCTCGGCAAAACCCAGGACCCTGCTGTCCCCACAGTGGTACTGTCCCAGTGAACTGGCACCCAAATGGGATGGTTCTCACAGCACGGGTCGGTTGTGCCTTTGATGGCGTCTCTCAAGCAGATTTTACAGTTCCACTGAGCCCGTCACCCCTGCCTGCTGGCCCATCGTTTGGGAAGCCATAGCTGCTTCAAAACATGGGAATTTGCCCCACTTCCTGGCTCCATTTAACCGAGCTTCGAAGTCTTCAGAATTTATAAAAGTGCCCAAAAGTCTCTGACAGGTGTCAGAGAAAGTGTGTAAGCCCACATAGCTCACACCCAGCTTCTCAGGCTCGTCAGCGTGGGGACTGCCAGCAGCGTGACAGTGGGCAAGTCATCTAACCTCTGAACCTCAGTCTCCACGTCGTGAAATGGGGTGTTAATAAGACCCATGTCCTAGGATCGTTGTGAGGATGGAATGAGACAGTGGGTACAAAGCACTTAGCATAATTCTCGGCACGCAGTGGCTGCTCTGCTAATGCTACCTATGATTATTTTTATTCATTCATTCATTCACCCACTGATTCACTCGTTCTTGCATCAAATAGACATTTGTTAAGCACCTACTCTGTGCCAAGCATTGCTCCAGGCACAGCAAATGCAGAGATGCATCCACTCCACATGCTTCCTGAGCTCAAGAAGCACGTTTTAATGAGGAAAGTGATGTTGGAACACAAACAATTCTGGCTGCACAGCAATAACCAAGGTGCAAAATGCTGTGGGTTTCCAGAGAAGAGAAGGTCACATCCAGCAGGGGCAGTCAGGGCAGGCTTCGTGGGAGGCTGAGAAGGTGGGGAGAGCATTCCCTGTGGGAGGGGACCACTGCAGCTGAGCAAAACCACAGGAGCTGGAAAGGGCAGAGCACACTCAGGGGATGGTGAGGAAGCAAACAGGAGCGTCAGCCTCAAGAAGAAGTGGGGGAGGGAAGAAGGCTGGTTCTCCTGGTTTTCTTGGGGGATTGTGAGAGGCTCTGAGTGTTGGTCCAGCAGACTCAGCAGACAGCAGCCTGGGTGAAAGGAGGGAGTGGCAACTCCTGGCACTACCCTGGCCTTGCACCATGGGGTGCCAAGAACCCAACCTAGGAGCTGTTGGTCTGGCTTTGTATCTGTAGTCCTGGGAGGCAGTGGGGGCTGGGGGAGATGAGGGGCAGAGTGTCAGGATGCATCCCAAGCTACCACATAGGTTTAGGGAAGCCTTTGTGGCGTGTGCTCACTCTGGAACAGATCGAAGAATTTGACCCAGCCTAGCAACCTCACCGCTGGAACTGGCACTCAAAACTCTTTAAAGAAGAGAGAGCCAGGGCCAACTGCCTTTCCAGGGTTACTACCATGGTGCAGGGACCTTGTGTGTACCCCAGCTACTCCAGATTCAGGGCAGAAGGACTGGACTCCAACATGTGAGGAGGCCTTGATCCCTCACCTTGCACTGGGAGCTGGCTTCAGGGGGTGGTGAAGACATTCTAGGAGACCCAAGGGGCAGGGGCGCAGAGGAAGGGTGTCAGTGCTGGGTTTATGTGGTGGCTTCTCAGCCACAGCCTGGGACAGCGGGCGCCTGCTCTGATCATCTCATAAGGTTAGTGAGACTCACGAACCCACAGAGTCCAGGGGCTTTTAAACTCCAGCTCTGGAATCCCTTGTTCAAACAACGTATTGTGGAATGTGATGCATAAAACAAAATGCATTAACACACAGATGCTCTAGTTGAACGGAGCAGTAGGCTCCCGGGGCTGCTTTTTACCACACATGTCATGACCCTCAGATTTTGTCCAACTCTTGCATTTCACAGAAGAGAAATGCAGAGCCTAGAGAGAACTGACCAGCCCAAGGCCACCAACCTCATCTCTGGCAGAGCTAGGAACTTTAAGAAGTAAATGAGCCCAAGGATGAGAAAGTGCTTTGTAAAGTGTAAAGTGCTATTGAAATGTAAGACTACGGTAATATTCGCCAGCTACATCTCCATGAAATTCTCAGGCATTTCTCAGGGGCACTACTTTGTGGGAGGCAGCCAGGGGAAAAAATGAACAAGCCTGAGAGTGCTGGCATCATAGGCAGTACGGAAAGAACTTGGGGTTTGGACCCTGAAGACACAGAGGCCCAGCGCTGCCACTAACAAGTTGTGTAAACTTGGACCTCACTTCAGTTTCCTTTTCTGGAAAAATGCTTTGCCTACCTTCCTTCTGAGATGGTGTGGCGCTCAAGGGAGACCGTGCATGTGAGGGTGCTTTTAACAAGGCCAAGCACTCCGCAAATACAGCCGTCTTACAAGGTGCAGTAGTGATGGAAAAGCAGAAGACCCCAAGGCTTGCAAGACTCGTGTTCAGCCCTCACAGGCACTTCCTGTCCCCGAGCACTGGAGCCAGCTGCTGACAGTTCTGGAACCCAAGTGCTTGCCTCCCCTGGCCCTTGGCTAGACACATCTCCATAGGTCATGCTGCACCCTGGACATGCAGCCCTCAGACGCTCTTCGTCAAGGTGTCTAAGGCGTGACCTCCCATCACCGGGCGCTGACTCAGCCCCCAGGAGCTCCATCTCTCCTTTCACACCCTGTGGGGGCCAGAAGGCGCCCAGCCAGCTGCTCAGCATCCCCTAAACCTCGCTGACTTCTGCATCTTGGGATGGTGCAGCGGGCCAGACTGGATTTGTTTCAGGAAAGAAAGAAGTGATTTCTCTCAAAGACCTTAGAGAGCTCTTCCTGCCCTCCTTGGGTGTTCCCAGCTGGGGGCCCTCCGGAGCCAGTGTCTGCATTTCCCTCTGAATGTGCACATTCAGGCTGAAACGTAGGAAGAGGTGGGGGACCCTGTGGATGAGGTCTGTTCCATTCTTTGGGAGAACCTGGCAAGCTGGTGCTCCCAGCGGGCAGGAAGAGGCCTCAGACATTCATTTCTGTGCTGCCTGGGGTGTGACCCTGGGCACGCTGACTTCCTGCAGGGCCCTTGTTTTCTCCATATGGGAGGGTGATGCAAAGAAATCGACCATGGGATACCTGAGATTTTATGATTCAGACATGAGCTCAGAGCTTTCATTCATTCAATTAGCCAATAAATATTTATTGAGCGCCTGTTGAATGCTAGGCATGGTTCTAGGCACTGGGGAACAAAACAGACGAGAAGTTCTGCCTTCATGGAGCTGACATTCTAATGGGACCAGACAGAGAAGGAAGAGATAAATGAGAATATGGAATTGTCAGCTGTTGGTCAGCGCTCTGGGAAGAGAGCATTCGTGAGAGATAGAGAACAGGGTGGTGGTGCAGTGGTGGGGGTGGTTGCTAATTTTCCGAGCGTGTGCAGGCAAGGCCTCACTGAGAAGGAACAAGGGGGCAAAGGTTTAAGGGAGATGAAGGCGGGAGCCAGCGGTGTGGATGTCTGGAGGAACAGCATCCTGGGCAGAGAACAGCAAGTGCAAAGTGCCTGAGGCAAGAACGTGCCTGGGCTTCAGTACAGCGAGGAGGGAGTTGCAGGCGCAGGAGAGTGAGACAGAGGAGAGATAAGTAGTGATGGCTTTTAACCTTTTGTCTTGAGTTCTTAGAAAAAGATCCAGCATGTCTGTTTAATAACTTTAGACATGTTCGTGTTCTCCCAACTGAGAGGCTAATTTCATCCCTCTGTTTAAATGCGGTGACTTTGTCAGGAGAGTTGTTCAAACCTCAACAACAAAGCCTCCTGCTCCTCCAGGGCTCATTCACACAGAGACTCGGGACTTGGGATAGTAGAAAGGGCCTTGGTTCAACTCCCAGCACCTGACACTTCCTAGGCTGTGTTACCTTGGAAAGGGCATTCAGCCTCTCTGAGCCTCAGTTTCCCTGATAAACCTCATCGGTTGCCTCATCCATAAAACGGGTTACTAATACATGCCTACCTCTCTTGATTGTTAAATTTAAATTAATGAGATCATAAATGTGAAAGTGCCTTTTGCATTGAAATGGGCAAGATGAGCGTCAGGAAGTTCTTTGTTTTCCTCAGTGGAGCCTGTGGGAAGGGTCTGTCCTTGGTTCCCACTTCCCTCCACCACCCAGCTGCTTATATGGTGTCCCACATGGCCCCTGCTGACTTTCACTGCACCCGAGCCCAAATCTGATTCAGGGACACTCATCCAACACTCAGGGCTCTGTGAGGCAAGGCTGGCTGGGTTCCCCAGGAACACTCTGGGGCTGACTTGCCTCATAGCGTGTCCGGGAGGACTCCCAACCCATTGTACTGGTTGGATGGGACTGGGTGGGCCCAGCGGCTCCTCTCCAGCATCCCCTCCCCATTCCTCTTCCAGGTACAATGGCCCCAACCTGGTTCTGAAGTACGACCGGGCCCAGAAGCGGCTGGTGAACATCGCGGTCGACGAGCGCAGCTCACCCTACTACGCGCTGCGGGACCGGCAGGGGAACGCCATCGGGGTCACAGCCTGCGACATCGACGGCGATGGCCGGGAGGAGATCTACTTCCTCAACACCAATAACGCCTTCTCGGGTAAGGGCTGGGGCCCAGGTCTTTTCCTGCTTCCCATCTTCTCCCTCCCAGCACCAACTTGGGGAGGGCCGTGGGAACCCTGGCCCTTTCTCAGGCAACTGTCATCGTCCCCCTAGGCACTGCCCCCTGCTGCCGCAGGACCTCTCTGGGTCCCAGAACGACTTCTTCTCTTGCGTCTGAGCCTGTAGGTCTCATCTCCTGAACTCTGGGCCTGGAGATGGACAGGGTGAGCAGAGACCGAGGCTCTCCCTCAGACTGAGTATCCCCACCACCACCTCCTAATGTGAGCCCTCCTCACCCCTCTCCCCAAATTCTTGCCAAGCACCTACACTATGCCAGCCTAGAGGTGCTGAGGATACAACTGTATAGAAGAGAGACCTTGAGTTCATGGAGCCTTTTCTTGCAGGAGCTTCTCGAACTGAAGTGTGCATCCGAATCCCCTAGAGGTCTTGTGCAAATGCAGACTGATTCAGCAGGTCTGGGTGGGGCCGAGACCCTGCACTTCTGACCGGCTCCCAGGCTATGATGACGATGCCTCTGGGTCAGAGACCACACTTTAAGTAACAAGGTCCTGCGTGCTAAGGAATGGATGAGGGAAATTGATGCCCAGAAGGCTAAATGACAGTGACAATAATAACAGTTAATACTTAAGTAGTACCTATTGTGTGTCAGACCCTGATATAAGCATTTACATTAATTATCTCATTTAGGCCTCACACACCTCGGTACTGGTAAATGCCACTGTACAATTGAGGAAACTGAGGCACAAAGAGGTTACCTGACTTGCCCAAGGCCACGCAGCTTGTAAGTCCCAGGATTCAAACCCAGGAGTCTGACTCCAGATCCATCCTCTTAATCAAGATGCTCTACGGCTTTCCTCAACCCTGTGTCCTCACTGCCTCTTGGAGAGCCTAGCTTGCAGTGCTTGCTCAGTGTCTCATGATTTGGGGGCTGTGCCCTTGTGGCAGCAGATCAAGGTGGTTTCCCACCCCTGATGCTTGCATTTTCTCAGGCTCAGATCTCAGGATCTCAGCCCAGGCCTGTGGGGCTGTAACGTCTCTGTGGAAGTCCCAGGCCCCAGTGTCCCGAGATGAGGGACACTGTGAGGGATGTAGGGCCCTGTGTCCCTGTGGGGCCAGGCTGAATATGCAGTGGGCTCCTCCAGAAGGCAGCCCTCTTTCGGGTCTGCTTTGGATAAAGCTCTGTGGTTCAGACTTGAGCAGTCATCATCCTGGACCTCCCAACCTCCTGGAGGCCGGTAACTGCCTGGCTATGAGGACCACCTTCCTTGTGCTCCACTCCCCACCCTGACACATATACACTGGCTTTCCCCTGAGCCACGACTTTACCGTTATTGGTTGTTGAGCCCAAGCCAGGATCCAGCCCCTAGACTGCCCCTGATGTTGAGTCCTGCAGTTGCATGAATGGGAGGGGAAGAGGTTAGGGCTCATGCCAGGGGCAGGGGCAGGCAGTGCTGTCTGGCTGGCAGCCAGCCTCATGCAGCCAAGAAACAATGAGCCACAGCCCTGAGTGGTGTTTTATGGGTTTTCATCTCATCTTGCCACCAAGTGAGGCCTGAGAGATAGTAATTATCCCTACACAAATATCAGGGCATGATTATGCAGCTGGATTTACTGCCCTCTCTCCAGCCAAGCCAAGATTGGATTAGGACACAATTAATTGATGGGCTGATCAACTCTTTAATGTGGGACAAGGTCAGAAAGGGAGCAGTGTCAAGGGATGCCTGCAGAAGGGGTGAGTCCCCAGGAAGTCTCCCAGAGGCTGGGAAGCTGGAGCAAGGAGAACTGTGGAAGTGTGGGCTCAGCAAGCAGATGCCAGAGGAAGGGGACAGACCATCCCCTATTCACCAAGCACAGAGCACCTGCTGTGGCAGCCACCAGGTGTCTCTGAAGCAGCAGCCCCTCCCATGCTCTTAGAGTGCTGCATTGTGAATCCCAGAGCCCTGGTTCCCTGCCCAGGCTGCACATTAGGGTCACCTGGGGAGCTTTCAACAATCCCAGCTAAGCGGCACTCCAGTCAATCCCAGTCAATCCCATCAGAACCTCCAGGAGTGGGACGCAGTCACCAGATGGTAAAGACCTCCAGGCAATTCCCCATACACCAAGGTGGAAGGCCACTACCTCAGAATCACGCTGGTTTCATGCTCAGCCTCACAACAACCCTACTCATTTATTAATGCATTCATCCATTGAACAAATATTTACTGAGCACTTACTATTCTAGGGACTGAGGATGCTTCAGTGAATAAAACACAAAAATCCTGCCCTCATGAAGTTTACACTCTATCCTCAACACAGCCTTGCGTTTCTCTGGGTATCTGAGTCCCCTCTCCCAATGCCCTGCCTGTACTGTAAGCTCCTTGAAGGCAAAACCTTGTATCGTTCATGTTGTGGCCCCCTTCGGCCCCAGTCAGACATTACACATCCTAAGAGCTAAGTTAAAATTTGATAAATAAATCCCAGGAAGAACAGGCAGGCGTGAGTTGTTGGGCCTGAGAGAGGGTTTGCCAACTGAGGGAAGTCAAGAAAGGCAAGCACAGTGGAGGCACCAGAAAGGCCCTGGGCTCCTGAGATCAAGGGCATAAGTGTGCACTGGGAGAGGCCGGAGCCGGCCCCCGGGGTGGGGGGTAAGGCAACAGTGCCCAGCAGCCTCAGTGCTGGCCACCTTCTATGGGTTTCAGGGATGTCTGTGGGTTTGAGTTCATTTTTCAGTTGAGTGATCCCATTGATTCATCGGCAGTGGGCGGGGTGTGGAGCAGGGACATTGTGCCGTGTCAGCACTTCCTTGGGCCCAGCTGGCATGGCACTCAGCCACTGCCACCCTGCCCACTCTCCAGGGACCCCCAACCAGCCCAGGCATGCCCATGGCATTTGGCTGTGCCCATGGCATGTGCCAGGATGTTGGAGCAACCTGTGGAAGCATGGTCCCTCTCTCCTCCCTTGGCCAGCCTTTGGGATGGTAGCATTGGAGTTCCTGGAAGAGGGCGAGCACCCTGCATTCCAACAACATCCTGGGGGAGTCATTCTGTACAAACCTGGGGTCTGCCCCTTATTTACTGTGTGACCTTGGACAGGTTACTTGACCTCTCTCAGCCTCAACTCCCTCGTCTAAAATTACGCCAACTTCTTAAGCTCAATTCCCGACAGTGGCTCCATATCCAAAGCCCTTCCCATCGCCTACAGCACCCCTCCTATGTGACCCGGGTTGCTTTTCTGATCTTCTTTCCTCCACTCTTCCTCTTACTCACTGCCTTCCCACCTGAGGCCTTCGTACTTGCTGTTCCCTCTACCTGAAACGCTTTTCCCACTGATGTTCTCCAGGCTCACTCCTTCATTCAGGCCCCTCCTCCAGTGAGATCTTTCCTGAGCCCCTTATCTAAAATTGTAACCCCATTACCCTCTGTGCACTTAACTGGCTTTATTTTCCTTCACAGTACTGACCACTATCTGAAAATAAGCTATTTTTTGTTTGTTGTCCATCTCTCCTACTAGGGTCTTAGTTCCATGGGAGTGTCTTGTTCACTGCTATAGTCCAGATCCAAAGGAGTGCCTGTCACTTAGTAAGCATTAAATACATATTTTTGAATGAACACCTGAGATAGTGAAGGAAAGCACTTATTACAGTGCCCAGGACTTAATAAGCACTCTACACAATAGCCGTTTTAGTCCTGTGGCTCTGAAGAAAGCCAGAGCCACTCAAAGTGTCATGGGCAGAGGTCCACAGGCCTTCCTCCTGGCCTGTGGGAAGGAGAGACCGTGGGAGCAAAGAGAAAAGGACCGCAGTATAACACCATGCAGATGAGGGGCCCAGTGGGCCTGGGTCAAGGGCTGAGAATTGGCAAGTGGGTAAGGGAAAGGAGAAGGAGGAAGACTGACCACCATCCCAGGACGGCCTGGGCGAGGAAACCAGCCTGGAAAAATACAAGCCACTGAGCAGCATCTCAGGCAACACTACTCAGGGAAACCAGGTAGGAGAGTGTGTAGGACGCAGGGGGACAAGAGGCAGGTGCCGATACCTCACCTCCATATC